CTGTTTATCTACTATAAACAGTAGATAAAATAGAAATCTTAGAGGTATTCCTGGAACTGGGGATGATCAAAAGTCAATATGGCAAATTAGCATCCAAGATGTAGTTATTTTAGCCACTATACCACATCATCTCCATAGCTTTAAAATTATGAACTCATTCAGAGAAGCTGCATATTTTCTATGAGATCACAACAGAGATATTCAGGTGTTCGTTCAAATATGTACTAAACACCTGTGTTTCAGGTACTTTGCTGGTACTGAGGAAATAACAGTGAATAGGACATGTTCTGTCTTCATGAAGCTTACAGAGGAAACATACACTAAAACAAGTAGAACAATTACTCTTATTCTTATTATTGTCATCATAGAAACAAACAAGGGACTAAGAGAACTAGAGGATATGCTTTTCAAATTATGGATTGCCAGGTAGAAATAAACTCCATTGAGTCCCAACCACAGTCTTAAAAAATATAGTATAAATAGGACAGAATACAGTATAAATAAGTATTGTATCATGAAACTTTCATCGTGCATAAAGAGCGATGGTATAAAATGCATTTCTTTTAGGCCCAAGGAATAATCCATGCAATAGGAATGGAAAGACTTTGCTATGTTAGAAAAACAGAAAATAACCCTATAGCTGGGTTCCTACCAAAAGGATAGAGTGGGGCATGAATAGAAGTTGAAGAAGTTAAGGTTCTGGTAGAGGCTTGTGCAACAAAGAAAGAAAACTGATGCAATTTGATTCATATTTTAGAGGTCCTTTTCTTGTTATATGGAGAATGGATTGGAGGGAGGGCAAGAATGGAAACAAACACCCCATCAGAAGGCTGTTGTAAGCAGTCAGTATAGGTGATAATGGGGGCTTGGTATGGAATAGAGAAAGGAGAGGGGAGGCAGCAGCAATGGTGTAGATGGATTCAAGATACAAAGATAAAATCAACAGGACTTGCTGAAGTAAGGCATCCAAATATTGTGATTCCATGTATATACTGTCCTTTCCAGATGTCTGTGTCTATGCACACCCTCCTCTTGCAATACCTGACCTTTCCCCAAGCTCTCACCCTATTTACTTGGCACACTCCTAGCCATACCCCTTTCAAAACTTGAGACCCAGCATCATCTTTCCACAAAACTTTCTCTGACCCTTAGAAGCTTTCTTCTCCAAGTTTCCTTAGCACTTTGCACATTCTTCTAATACACTGATTACGGGCTGCAATGCAATTACCTGTTTACATTGTTTTCCAAGCACGTCTGCAGCCATTTCAGGGCAGAAACTATTTTCTGTTCACTTTTAGCCTTGGGACTGATGACAGTGCTTAGAAAACTGTTGACTCATTAATCAAAGTTTGCTGAATGCATTTGCCATTGCCTGTTACAAATTCCTTCATTCCTAAACTATTATAGCAAAGGGATGCTCATTCACAAAGGTATTAAATACAGGCTGGGTATCCTTGGGACCAGAAGTGTTTCAACTTCTGAATTTTTTCAGATTTTGGAAAATTGGCTTTATACTTACCTGTTGAGCATCCCTAATCTGAAAATCTGTGGGGTTGTTTTTTCTTTTTTTTTGGAGACAGGGTCTTGCTTTGCAACCCAAGCTGCAGTGCAGCAGCACAATCTTGGCTAACTACAACTTCTACCTCTCAGGTTCAAGTGATCCTCCCACCTCAGCCTCTCACATATCTGGGACTACAGGTGTGAGCTACCACACCAAACTAATTTTCTAAATTTTTGGTAGAGACAGGGTTTCACCATGTTTCCCAGGCTGGTCTTGAACTCCTGGGCTCAAGTGATCCAACTGCCTCAGTCTCCTCAAGTGGTGGAATTACAGCATAAGCCACTGTACTCAGCTCCTAATTTAGAAATCTGAAATTCCCCAATGAACATTTCCTTTGAGTCTTATGTCAGCACTCAAAAAGTTTCAAATTTTGGAGCATTTCAGATTCGGGATGCTCAAACTGTACTGAACATTTTTTTCTTGCTCTTTTTTCCACATGTCCCATGTTGAAAATATTCTTATTTATCCTCAAGTTTCAGATCATTCCCCAGTGGCTCCTATTCAGAGAAATGGATATATATATCTACATAATTTACACTGCTGTATAAATCCATTAGATTTTGTTCAATGATTGGACTGTGCTTCTTGCTTTCACAAACTAAACAGCATAGTATATAGGAAAGATCTAATTTTAAAGTTAGATTTCTGTTCATAAACCAGCTCTACAATTTATGGATGATGTGGCTTTGGGTAGGTTACTTAATTTCTCTGGATCTCAACTTACTCAATTATATAATAAGGTTAATACTTCTATATCATAGCGTTAGCCATGAGTTTAAATGTGAATGTGTAGTAATTAGCACAAATATACACTTAATATATTAGTTCTTGTTTCTCCAACTTAGGCCTTTTTTTTTTTTTTTTTTTTT